TCTAGGCCCTGCTTAGCAGGGAGCACCTGACTCGCTGAGGATATACCTAGATGTGGCTTGTAGGGATCGGGAGTTGGGGGAGGCGGGGTTTCAGTCATCCCTCTGGGCTGAGCTACCTCTGTTATCCAGTTTGATGGCATTATGGCTATGGCGACACTGTGTCCAATGCACTGGGAGAGGGGAGGGCTCAACAGGGAACAATGGATACTGCTGGCACTTCTGTACAAAGCGAGTCTTGCTCCGGCCCTCACTCTGACAACGTCTCCCTGTAAGTCTCTGGTGCCCCGCTGGATGCAGCCAAATCAGCACTGGTGCTCCGAGCGAGCAGGTCGGTCACCACGAAAATCCGCTCACAGACAGGGCCCCTTTAAGAGGTTTCTGCCGCTGCCGCAGCCTCCATCTTATTTAGCTGCTCTGACCCGGCAGCCCTGCGTCCTTGCCCCGTCCTACCTTCTGCCGTTGCAGGGTGCTTTCTTGGGTTTCTTCCTAGTTGTATGGCTTGTTCCTCTTGATCCCAGGCGATTTTTCCTTGTTGCTGCTCCTTGTTTCCTTCACAACTTTGATTTGGTTGCCAGAGGGATGAACAGAGCCTCTGTCATCTACACCATTTTTTTCCTCTCAATACAATTTTTAAAACCTCTCTTGCTGTTCTGACTGCTGCAGCTCTCTGTGGCCCTTGGAGTCCCGAGAGACTTATTTTAAAACTTTTGTTAATATCTATACATTACTGTTAACTAGTTTAAGTAATGGGATTAAAGTTTGGACATTTGAGTTTCATTTGCTTGTTTTTTAATATTTCCTGAGGTAATTTTGCAATTTGAGATGTATCATTTCTGGTAGTAAAAAAATGGCTCAGAGGCTAAATTAAGCATGGACTTTAGTATAACTCTGAAAGGATACCAGGCTGACTGGAGGAGCAAGTATATATTGAGAAAATTGACTAGCTACGGTGGGAGGAAATTGTGAAGGAATGGGAAGTATTTTGGATAGGGGGCTTAGTTTGAGTGCCTGTTATTTACTGGTGGGTATAGAGATTAAGAAGATGCATTCCTAGCTTCAAAATGCTCAGGCTAGGAAACAGGCAATTGTAGAGTAAGTAGTAAGTGCTGAAACGGGGCGGGGGTTTGGGTTTGTTATGGGAGCCATTGCATGTCCTTGTGTGGGAGATTGAAGCGGCAGATTAGGAAACAAGTCTGGGCAACTCGAGTGTATAGAATGTCAAGGAGGAAGACTTAAGGCAAAGAGACTTGTTAAGCTACTACAGCAGATAGAAAGCAGCTAATGTCTGGGGACTTGCACTGCAGTAGTAGTAGTAAAGCTACAGAATAATTATCTGAACATGTGCTTAAGCTGAATAGTGTTTCCATAGGAGGTTGTAGAATTTTGTATGCTTTGCGAAGGAAGGATTATTCTTTATATAGGATGATTTAAAGTGCATTTATTCTAGTCCTAGCATTCTAGTACAGTTTACTACAGTATGTTTTTTAAAAATGTGGACTAGCTCACAAACAATTGCTCACTAGGGCAATGATGTCAGTATAACCTAGGTTCATATGCAATTTTCCCAACACATTAATATTTTGTACCACCAGATACCTACAATTTTATAATAGTTAAATGGATTGCTATATGCTTTTAAGTCTGAATAGGAAGCTGTGGCAAGATTTGATTGTTTTAGTAGGATCACTCAGGCAGTAGAAACAGGAAGTTATTGTAGTAATCTAGGCAAGAGTAAGTAGATGGAGGCTTGGACCAAACTATGCTAGCAGGCCATAATGAAAAATCTAAAAGCCTACTACCGTAGAGAAACATGTACACAAGACATGTACAAGAATGTTTACTGGAAAAAAAAAAAGCATTTGTTGAAGCATTGGTTTAATAGTAAATAACTAGAAATAACATCAATAGAATGGATAAACTGCAGTTTGAATTAACTAGAGCTGCATGTATCAACTTGAGTTATTAGACAACCAAGAAGAAATGTCAAATAACAGAAAGATTGAGTCTGGAGTTCAGAACTCTTGTACAAGTTGAAGATATAAATTTGGCAGTCATTAGGATAAAGTGGCTGCTATAAAGCAACAAGACTGGATAAAATTACCAAGGGAGTAGGTATAAATAGAAAAGAGCTCAGAGGACTGAACCCTGGGAAAATATGTAGTTTTGAGAAAGAAGGAAGAACTAACAAAAGAAACAGAAGGCAGTGATTTTTCTGGAAGCAAGTGAAGTGTTTTAGGAGACAGCAATCAGTTGTAGCAAATGCTGCTGATAGGCAGGAAGGATGGAATTTGATTTAACAACATGGAAGTTATTGATAGCCTTGGCAAGAATTTCAGTGGAATGGCAGAGTTGATGGCCTGATCAGAACACTTCAAGAGAAATGGGAAGAAGAAAATTGAAGAACTTCAAACTCCCACCACTACATCTTACCTAATTCTTCTTGTGCCAACATATTACCTTTTCACCTGTTACTATACTATGAGTGATCTGTCTCTGACCCTAGTTAAAACCATCCCCTTCAGTTGTACAGTTGATTCTGTCTTCACTAATCTATTTAAAAATACAGACCTGGGAAATCTCCCCTCCTCCTACATTATCAATTATTTTCTCTCTACTGCATCATTCCCGTCAGCATATAAACATGCTGATGTCTCCCATTAAAAAATATTCTTTCTTGACCCAATTTTCCCCGGCAGCTACTTCCACATTTTCTTCCCTTCACATCAAAACTCTTTGAAAGAACTGTCCTCCAATTCTACCTCTGATTTGTCTAATATTTCATGTTCGGGTACAGCCATGGAATAAGCAGACGGTCGAATTTAATCAAGTTGTGGTTAACCTGTGAGAGTATGATGAAGAGAAAGAGGAACAGAGAAGTTAAGATTGTGTGCAAGTATGTAATTTAAGCTGCTTACGGAGAGAGTACTTGAGAGAAGTGAGCGATATGAAAAGGAGGTGGTATCAGTGGACAAAAGTTCCCCATGGGGGTCAAGGAATCATTGGATATGGAGTTGTTGAGATGGAAGGAGGGGTGAGCATTAGAGAGTGGGGTGTTTGAGGTCACAGAAGAGTCTGAGTTATTGGTAATGGCAAGCTCATGGTTATGATCAAAGTTGTAGCTGAGGCAGAATATACCAAAAAAATGATCGAAGAGCTTTTAAGTTTAGCCAATGAACTGAGAGAGAGTCCAAGACACTGAAAGAATCTTCTATATGTGCATTGAAATCAAGAAATATAACTGGAGTGGTTTGTTGAGAGTGAAAATAAGACAGGAACTACTTTGTTCTTAAAGGAACAAAGAGGAATTGAGGGGACTATACAGTAGATAACTACAGTAAGAAGTACTCAGGTAGCAAGTGCCAATGGCCTGATGATGTTTTTTAATAGGGAGCAGAGGAGAATAGACAGGAAGTAGCAGTGAGGAGAAAGGAACTGTTCCACCTCTAGGCCCAGTGGTATCAGAGGTGTAGAGAAAATAGCTACCACTGGAGGGCTTCAGGAGCAGCAGTGTCGTCAGAAGTCACAGACTCAGATCCTGACAAGTGAAGTTTAGAAGGCTGGGTGTTTTAACAAATTAATACTCATTTTTCTTAAACCACAGAGTCCTCATGATAGAGACATGAATGAAAAAAATCTCAGAAAAAAATAGTCGTAAAACAGTAAGTGAAACTCAGCTTCACATTTGGAAGACAGTGGCAAAGGGACCATTTTAAAGGGAACAACCATTATTTTGTGTTGTTTCTATGACAGAATTCAAGCCTAGTATTGCCAGATCTTTTGATGTTTTTCAAGAGAAAAGTGGATTTTATGTGAAAAAGACTAGCTTTTATTTACTTTTTAAAATACTGTGCAGGCCAAATAAAACATGTTAGAGACTGCATTAAGCCATTGTCACGATTTTATGAACTATGCTAAAATAGAAACTACTACAGTATGTATTTGTAAGCTCAACAGTCAAAGCCCATGAATTCAAACTGTCTGCTTTGTTGGGTTCAGTTCAATCTGCAGTGTAAAGATAGTGACTCCAGGCTGATCACCACGCAGCACTTAAATTACCTGGCAATTTATCAGTTGTTTGATTATTACTCAAACAGATCTTCACCCGATATTTTTTTACTTTTCCTTCTAACTCTGATAATGGAATTGCCTTTGAAGAAAAACACAATCTTTTATGGCCTGAATTTTAATGAATTAAACCTCATACTTTCATAAAGGAAAGCTTTTGATAGAGGAAAATTTGAAGGTTCTTTAAGCCTAAAAAAAAGCTAGTTAATTCTTAAGCAAATTTTGATATAAAATATTTAATGTTTTTTCAAATTCTTCAATTTTCCTTTGATGACTGAAAAGATTCTTTGTATTGAAATATAAGTCCTAAAAATAGTATTTGGCTTTATTTGACCTTGGGCAGGGCAGTAAACCTTTCCAGACTTAGTTTTCTTATCTGTAAAACAGATTAAATATACATGCCCTAACTACTTCATAAGGTAGCTGTTAGGATCAAATGAGAATGGAAAGTATATATCTTGACTTTGTACGGGTGCTTTGTTTTACAATATCCTTTTAAAGAATAACAACTTGCCTAGATAAAGCTAGTGAGATGCTCTATTTAGAAAAAATCTTTTAAATTAGAATATATTTAAAATTTAGGAAACCCTCTGAGTAAGAGTGGATATATAATCTACCTCCAAAAACAACTTTCCTATTGAAAGATGACACTGCTGATGGTATCACTGAGGTACTGGCTGTAAAATATCCTTTCCAGTTCTGTAAGCATGATTGGTTGTACTTTGGTTAAAATCCTGCTCATTCAGGAGAAACCTGATAGACAC